GCAGATAAAGTATTTGTGTAATTGATTTTAAAGATTCGATGTGCTTCACCAATGAATTGCTCAATCACATTGCTGACTACTTAAAGAGAATGAGAAAATCAAATTTAAATAAAATCAGGCACATGTACTACAGCATGTTTCCATGGTTATAATGATATCTCCATAGTATTAAACCCTCCCTATGGCAGCTATTATTACATTGAAAAAATGATGAAATAAATACTTGTGCTCAAAAATGTGTTTGGTGGTAAATCCTTCAGTAATATTTGAAACAAGAAATCCTGATACATTTTCTGACCCCCTACTAGCTCCCATTGAGAACTACATGTAAAACTTTGGTGAAACATTTTTTTCAAATTCGTTATACTTTTTTCTATAATGCACAAAATTCTTGTTCAAATGATGACAACAAATTAGAAAAATTGTGTTTATTTTGTCAAAAGTGACTTTGGTATTCAAGTATGTGTTAGTACCAATCCATTTTAATCAATACTTTCAGCCTTTTATAATATTAATGCACACACAAAAGTTTTCAGCACACATTTGCATAGAATGAATGACATAATCATTCTCTGACTTTATTTTTGGTTGGCGTTAAACTTTTGAAGACTGTCTACTTTTGGTCACCTTTCACAAATAAGATCTGCTCTGTTTTCCAGGCACTTGCAAACTGTTATTAAAATATGTCTATTCAGTCAAAAATTAACAATAAATTATAAGAAAACACATGACAAAATTGCTAAATGCTAGGTAAGAAAAAAAAATGAATTCTACCATTCAGCTTTACAGGAACATTTTCCTTTACTGTATCATCAGCTGAAATCATCATTATTAGATCCTGTTGGTCCATTTGTTTTACTGAATGCATTACGTCCATTACCGCCCGATACAACGCACACGTTACTTATATCATTTACGCCTAAACAAGGAAAAATTGTAAGTAAAAAAGTAATAAGAATTTACTTTTTTTTTATATTGAACAGAATGATTCTCAACCTTGCTAGACAAAAATGGCCAAGAAGATCATGTTGAAAACAAGAGAATCACAAAAATTGTATATTCCTTTCCAAATAGTGTTCCATTCTTTCTCGTCATTGTATCTGCTGCTCTGATTACTATGGTACAATAGAGCAATAGATACCATGAGGGGAGAAATAAAAACACTATTTGAGGGAAGAAAACAAATCTCATAGTTCTCTATCTCACTTCAGCATCCAAGGTCCATCCTCGGGGTGGAGCTACATCACAGAACATTCTACGGTGCTATACCACTCACCACTGTACCATGTATTCCTATGGGCTCTGCGTTAAAATCAAGAACAGCGCTCAACTCAACTTTGATATTATCCTGAACAAACAAATTTATATGTTGCACATATAGGGGTAATCTTGTTACACTGTTCAGGGGAGTTTCAACAACTGACCCAAAGTACAGTTTTCTGAGAGTTTCGGCCCATGTTTTCAACATGACACTGAAAATGCCAGGAAGTTCGCCCCCAAGAATTGGGCATACCATTGAATTACTATGTCTCTTTTTCACTCCTCCCTATACTGTATTACAGGAATTTAGTGATACAGATTTTTACAAATTTCAAGTGTCAGTGAAATATTTTAAATTTTGCCTGGCTTTTTATGAAATTTAGTCCTTCCAAACAATCCCCAAATTATGAAATCGTAAAACTTTGCAGTGATGAAAATTTTTGCATTTTACATTATGTCGTCATTTATAATCATTGAATACCATTTGATTTGTATTGTTTCAGTTTTATGAAATGTTAGACATCTGCTCTCCCACGTCTACCTTATCCATAAATTTACAAGGCCAAGGTGTCAGCCCCAAAGTAACAGTATCTGTAGAAAATGGTGTACTAGACATGGGATATGTATTAGCTGGTGAAGAAACTATCGATACATTCAAGGTAAGTTGAATGACTTGAGACTGTTTCATATATTTGTATATTATGGTTCCCCTGTATAGTTAGCATTTAGTTATTACAAATTTTTGGGTAACTACTAAATATATGAGAAACTGGTGATGAACCCCTTACACACTACTGTAAGCTCAAAGTGAAGTATTTTAAACTGTGATCAGGGAACTTATGTTGGACCTCTTTGACTAGAAACTTATAGAGAATCCATTGAGCTACTAGAAATGCATGGTGAACACTTTCGGCTACTAGAAGCTCATGGTGAACCCCTTAGGTTACTAGAAAATCTTAGGGAACCCCTTGAGCTACTAGAAATGCATGGTGGACCCTTTCAGCTACCTGAAGCTCATGGTGAACCCCTTAGGTTACTAGAAACTCTTAGCAAACCCTTTGGGTTACTAGAAGCTCATGGTGAAGCCCTTAGGTTACTAGAAACTCATGATGAACCCCTTAGGTTACTAGAAACTCGTAGAGAACCCTTTTGACTACGAGTAACTCATGATGAAGCCCTTAGGTTACTAGAAACTCGTAGCAAACCCCTTGGCCTACTAGAAATGCATGGCGAACCCTTTCGGCTACTAGAATCTTATGGTGAACCACTTAAGTTACTAGAAAATCTTAGTGAACCCCTTGAGCTACTAGAAATGCATGGTGGACCCTTTCGGCTACTAGAAGCTCATGGTGAACCTCTTAAGTTACTAGAAACTCTTAGCAAACCCCTTAGGCTACTAGAAATGCATAGTGAACCCTTTTGACTACTAGAAGCTTATGGTGAACCTCTTAGGTTACTAGAAACTCCTAGCAAACCCCTTAGGCTACTAAAAATGCATGGTGAACCCTTTTGACTACCTGAAGCTCATGGTGAACCTCTTAGGTTACTAGAAACTCTTAGCAAACCCCTTAGGCTACTAGAAATGCATGGTGAACCCTTTTGACTACTAGAAGCTTATGGTGAACTTCTTAGGTTACTAGAAACTCTTAGCAAACCCTTTGGGCTACTAGAAATACATGGTGAAACCTTTCGAACATGCTAGATTGGTCACATTGAAACTATATGCATACATAAACAACTTGTTTGCAATGAGGCGAACGCTATAATCATGAGATTTATGTTTTTTTATACTTTCAGATTGAAAATACTTCATCATTATCTGTTGATTTTGCAATAAAGCTGGACAGTCTGTCACTGACAAAACAAAAAGATCAACAGAGTTTGCCATCATTTGTAAAAGAAGACCACCAAATGAAGTCATTGGTTGGCACAGCGAATCTGAATGGTAGGAGCGTCTTTGATTGTACACCACCACAAGGCACTATTGAACCAGGTAATTGTTGATTTCTCTTTACAACCTAATTTAGTAATAGGCATTTGCATACATGCACCAATACACAGTGCCCTTATTGTTTCTACTTTTGATTCCTGCCATTAGAATGCATAGCTTACTATAGTGCTTTATGGTGAACCTTTTAGGCTACAGTCAAACCTGTGTTAACGGCCACCTGGATATAGCGGCCACCTGCCTATAGCGGTCACAACCGAACAGTCCCTACGCATTTTACATGTAAAGTACCCTGTTTACAGCGGCCACCTGCCTAACGCGGCCAACGGCCACGCTTCAGCGGCCGCAATGAACAGTTGAACTGCATATAACGGACATAGTTCCCGGATGTCTTGCAGACTACTGCCTTCCACCTCAGACAACTAATAAGCTCACAAAGGACAAAGTTAGCACGTTTTCACACCTTTCATTCAACCGATGGCTTCGGCA